AAATAAAATAAAATTAAAATTAAAACGAGTCCAACTAACAACGGAAAACAAATAAAATTAAAAAAAAAAAAACAAATCTAACAACTAACTACTCATTTATGCCAAGTGTCAGGTCTTTGTTTCATTCGATTTCTACCAACTCTAACTAACCCTACTACTGAGGTCGCGGGTTCGAGTCTCGGCCTACCACAAACGGGCGAAGGCCAAAGCATAGCCCCTCATAAAAAGGAGCTAGTTCGGGGTCGGATGGATTCGATCCTCGAGTCACCTGATCTTCAACCCGCACCGAAACCCACTGAGCTAGCTCCTACTTCGGTTAGAAGAGGAGCAACTCAGGTATATGTTGAAGTGGGGCTTAGTCCGCCTAATGGTCTGAGCCCGTTTCTAAGTCTGCGCACATGCACGCCTGCCGGCCTGCATGCCTGTCTAAGTGCTTATTGGCTTGAGTGTGTGTGTGCCCCGCCTGGGTACTCAGTTAATCGGGAGGCCCGAAGGGCCGGTACTTAGCCCTGGCCGCGATATTTAAGGGTCTCGGCAGGAAAAACACTCAAGTAGCAGGTAAGTCAGAACCTCACCAAGTAGAGGTAGATATGACGAGTACCCGACTCGAAGGCCGAGTAGAGGACGACAAAAACTGAAATTTTTAAAACACCTGGTACCGGTAAGTAGACAGGTACCAGGCCAGGTCTCAGTGTGTGTCGTAGATCTACCCGACACAATACTAACCCAATCATCCCTCTGACCTTCTTGATCAGAGGTATTACTACTAACCCTCACCATCCTGGTGCGCGGTTTAACAATGCGCGCGCGTACTCTCGAAATTCTCTCACCGATTCGCCCCGGCCTCAATGGCCGACGAATTCGTTTCGAGTGTCACGCCAAAGCGCACACCCTTTCCGTTCCAGACCGGCCCCGTCATGGTAGCCGACGTCGTCGTTGTGTCAAATGCAAAAGCATGACCAAATACCCTTGTAAGGGTATTTGGTCCAACAATGCTATAAATTCCGACTGTGCGATTAGTTATCTCGCTTAACCAGCTAAGCGGAAGCTCGAGGTTGAGCGATCAGAGAGGGTCGGCACACGAGCGAAGTAAGAGGTGAGTAGAGCAGGAGTCGGGCGACCCGACGAGCTGGTGCCAAACGCGCGGGGTTGACGTGGGCCACGACGGACCGTGGGCGCGGGCGAACCTGACGGGGGTGACGGCTTCGTGGGTTGGTGCGTGACGACGGACTGTCCGCATCGGAGAGAGAGAGAGAGGAAGAGGGAGCTGAGGTTGATGGACGCGGATTTGCTGTTTCTTTTATCTTTTCTCCCTCCTATCTCGTGTATATAAATTTTGATTTCGGCTCCGAGTGATTTGCCCGTTTCTGTTTTTCGGAATCTGGTCTTGGTTTTTCGCTCACACTTGTCCTTGCTATTTCCCATCTCGGATATGGTGTACGAATGTATGAATGAATGAATGGATGTCATGTTTGGTTGCTTGTGTTTCTGCCTGATCCTTGCCTTTGCCTTTGTTTACTGCCCACTCATGAGTAGGGTAGGAACTTTGTGCAGTTGTTAATCCTGTTCTCATTTCTGCTTATCTTTTGATCGAGCTGTTGGGATTATTGCATTTTGCATACTCGAAAATTGCGGAATGAGTAGGTAGTTGGGTAGCTGTTTGTCCAGAAACCAGCAAACGCCTTGTAGGGACGCGCGTAAGTACGACGTGCTTTGCGCACTTACATGTGTCCCCGCGTAGCGATTCGCGACTAAACCACACATAACGAGGACGACGAACGATTGGATGTGGTCATTCCGCGTCAGCAACGAAGTAATCGTCCCGTGTGAACACGTGTGAACACGTGTAAGCACGACTCGATTCGCGCGGCCTGCACGTGCTCACACTCGGTGATTGCAATCGGCACAGACCCGCCCTTAGGCATCTCGCGGCTCTGCGATGATATGATGACACGCTCCGAGAGCTCAGAGTCGTTATACGACCCGGAATACTTCACCCCTTGGATAGAAGAAAGCCTTCGATAGAGATACCCCTGCCGAACAGAAAATCGACTGTGTCCTAAGGAGTTTCATTGCGCCACTACCAGCGACCCCCAATGCTCTGATTTCCCCACCGCGGACCACACTCGTTACTTTATTTCCCCCGGCTTCATCGTTATCTCCACTAACTTCCCTCCCTTCCGTCTTCTTCTCCCGTATCACCAACTCAGGGTCATCCCGTGGAAAGCCATAGCCCGCTACTGGCCCAGCACGCCCTGTGGAAATTGCCGACAACGCGCCAATTAGAGAACCGCAGGACCACGAGGGCCCCACCAAAACGTACGACGAACGGCCCCACGTGGCAACAACCGAGGGACTGAGTCATCTGAACCACACCCGCCTCGAAGGGACTTTTCGACAAACCGCCACCCTCAAAACCGATGGATCGCACGGTCTTGAAGGACCCGCGCATGCCATCTGCCTTATGATCCGAAGTGGTCGGCCCCTTCTGCCGAATTGCACTCGTGCCCCGAAAAACCCTGCCACAAGAGATCTCAGTTCCGACCTGGGACTCCACCCCCACTTCCCCAAAAATCCTTGGCACACCCCTTTTCGCACTTCCAGACCCACACTCTACTCCGATCAGGAAGTCGCGCTGGGTGTGAGGTTGGTATCGGAGCCTGACACGTGGCCGGGTTCTAGGATTGACAACACGATAATTGAGCAATCTGGCTAACCGAGGGCGACCTCGACCCCGGAACGCGCATAGACGCAACCCCGTCATCACCCGAAGTAGATCGGCTAATCGACCGTCAACACCCCGACGAGGAGCGCTTCGACATGAAACAGAAGGTCGCTAGAGGGGCTTTACAGAGGGCATTCAGGAGGTTGAAGGGCATATGGGGCTTGTTCTTGCGCACAGAAGAGGCAAACCCAGAGACACTGCCTCAACAATTTGTGGCAGTCTGCATACTCCACAACATCCTCCTGAACGATGGCATTGAGTTTGACGAGAATCTGTTGTGGGAAGTAGACCAGAACGGAGTGCGATGACAAGTGAATCTAGGCATCCATCACCCCCTACTGCCTGTCGTCATGACGACTTCCACGAACGAGGTGTATGCTAAAACAACACACATGAAACACAATTGATGTTTTCTCGTCGACGGAGGCAGCGCTCCTAAAAAGGTGTGCACTTCAGGCGACGATTCCATGTGGCGGATATAGCGCGACAATTTTCATCGCTTCTTCACGGCGTCCATGGTACGGTGCTCCAACATTCAATGATGGGACGGTGAGTGGGTGGTCCTTCTATTCTGCTCTATTATGCACAACGTCCAATCACGTCCGCCAACTCGCGACCTTGGAGTGTTGACGATTGTGCGGGGGGAAGGCTATGTTCGACCAGTCTTCCGTGATTGGATTGCCAGCGGGATGGATGGGGTGTGGGCAGGCGGGTGTTGGTGGTGGTAGGGAGGGAGGGGCCGGTGGCGGTGTTGCTTGCGGTTGTTCGTGGACGAAGGGTTCTTGCCACTTTTTGGATGCATCCAATCCTTCGTGACATGAATGTGCTGTTGTTCCGAAATTGCAGTGGGAACACATTGTGTGTTTCTGGAATTTTTTTCTTTGTTGTGCTTCGTCGTTTTTCGTGTCAAGGACTCATATTTTACCCTGTTATTCGTGTTTGGCATGGGCATCCTTTGTCGAATGGACTACGAGAGTTTGAGGAGGTTAGGTAGATGGGCATATTATTTTATGTGCAAATGTGTGTTTTCGTTGCTTGTGTCGTGGAACTTTCTTTGCGTTTTTTGCAAGGGTACTCGTGAGTGTGTAGATGACAACATCCAACATTTGTGTTGCTCAACTTTCCAAGCAATGCACTTTCAGGATCGCACCCCATGAACATGACAATTAGTGAAATAATAAATGTCCATCGTCATCACACACCGCATATGAAAACAACAACGCGCATACACAAATATCAAAGGAGGCAAAACACACAATTGCTTATCTGTTGCGTTTATAGAAGGAAACACAAGGCATCTTTGTAGACTATTCTTTCACTAATGACCAGCAGACCTTTGCATTGCTTCACGTCACAGGATCAACATACCTTCTCCACGTGGATCGAAAAAAAAAAAAAAAAAAAAAAGGGCAAGCTTCACATAATTTTTACCACACCATCTAGCCATCTACCCTAATGACGTGCACGTCACACAATGCTACCCGCTTCCATCCATGACACCCCACCATCTACAATCCATGTCCCCGTGGATGGTACATAACTAAAAAAGAGGCGCATATTAAAAAAAAAACAATTGACCACCCCGCTTGGTCTTCCACACGATTGTCGCACACATGGGGGGACACTGCTTACACCATTATCGCCCCACCATAGCCCCCCTCCCCAACTCCCCCCCGGCCCCCCAAAACCCTCCGACCAACCCACCACCGACCACATTACGGCATTAACCAACGCAACGAGAGCGACTGTCTCGATATCCATGGAGCCGCCTCGTCATGGAACATCGCTTCGACATCTATGTTGCATTACCCGCTCAATTGGCATCATCGCACAAAGTATCAGCATAATGACCTGTCCCCATCCAGTCTTTTTTCATCGTTGCATCCACGCTGGCGAGAGCCGCGTTGTGGATGAACAACACTCCGCAATCCGTCCAGTCGGGGATGTAATTGGGGACAGCATTGAGCAATAGATGAGGTTTCCCTAAGCGATCCAGCACGTGATTGGAAGAGTTGACAATGTATATGCGCCAGTTGAAGTTGTATGATCTCCACTCTATGAATTGGTGGCAAGTATGGTTAAAATGACCCTTGTTTTTTTTTATAAATGGTATGAGAAGTTGTCTGAAAATTACGGCCTCTATTAATTGCCTCTCCGACAGTGAGTGTGGGCTTCGACAGCGACGCAAAACGATGCCTTGTAGTGGCACCGTTCGACGTTGCCACCCATGCGCATTATCCACATGGAGGCGCTCAGAAGGAGGCGAAAGCAATCTGCCAGTCTGTTCGATTTGTTGGGCTTCACGTGTCTGCCATCCGAGTATTGCCCGTACCTCAAAACGTTCGTCCAACACTTTGCGATGTGGACGACTGCCGACTCCTAATGCGCCACCATGTCGTCGTCATCGAGTCTATCCACAATTCGAACCCCCGCAAACCATAAGGGAACTTCCATCTTCATTTGGAGAGTATAGTAGATAACAGTTGGCAACATCACTTTCGATCACTCCATGGACTACCAAAACGCTCGCGCGACGTCCGTGGCGTAGTCCACCGTGATGTAAGATTCCGCTAGGGCGAATCCATGGGCCTTCGATGACGACTTGAAGATCTAGTTGTGGATGAATCTCAACGCCACTCTCTCTGAGTTCCTCGCTCTCCGAAGGGCAGGGCCATGCTGTGCGGGGTCCTCGATCTTAAAATGTGGGACATCAGCGGGTGGCATGTTGAGTATAGGTGGCGTCTCGACTCCAAAATCCCCGTTGACGATGGCCATGTAATAATCGTCGCAATCTGTAACGAGGTCTCGCATACGTTTTCCGGGTCTGTAACCCAAAACCTCACAGTCTACCCACAATCTCGCCTTCTCCTCCAACTTTTCCTCCTGCCGCGTCCTCTTCCTCCTGCTGGTTAACGGCTCGTCATCGCCGCCGTCCCCGTCCCTGCTCCCATTTCTCCTTTCGTCATGTCCCTGCCCGTCCTCATGCTTGTCGTCATCTCCACGTCCCGCAGGATCGCTGGTGCTTTGGTTGCCTTGTCCCTGGGCACCTTGCACCATCGCTCCTTCGCGACGGCCTGCCGCGGGAGGAATTCTTGTCAACCCTATGGCTGCTTGCATCATATCCGCTTAACGAGGCTGCAACAGGATAAGTGGACCTATGTCTATTTGACCACTGCCTGCACCTGGGACGGACATTCATCGCTGGACACTCACCATCCCCTCAATTGTTGTTTTGCTTTGCCTCTACCCGCCTACATCGTTGATTACTATCCCAGGCGATCTTGAAGTATGTCTCGGCCCGCCGCCCATGGCCGCGACAACGTGTAGGGTGAGTGCCGCCAACTGCTCCCTGGACACCCTGTCTCGCCCAAAGCCCAAAGGTGCACTCCCAGCTGGCCAGTACGCGGCGATGATGGTGATGTCGTTTGCGGCCTCCTCGTTCGTCCTCCCTCCCACGTCGTCACGTGCAGCCTTTTCGACTTGGGGATGTGACCTCTACATCTCTTCTCGATCCGATGTCTCTCCTGCCCTTCCCAATCGCTCCTTGTTGTGCCATCCCGCAAACAACGGACGTGTACTCGCGCCGACTAACCTCCGGCTTTGCTTAGCAACACGTGATAGTCGAAAGAAGGATATGAACGAAGAGCGCAAGGACCACAGCAAAGGCGCTAGTGCCGCGTCTGAATGCAAAACATGTCCTCGTGCTTTGCCACCACAGACGTGTCAGGAAAATGGTAGCATCCCAACCCCCACACGGTATGCGAGGTGAGCGCAACAGTTATGCCCATGAGGCATCCGGTTGTGATCGCAAGTGCAAAACAGAGCGGCGAAAGTGAATGGACTGACTCCCTATATACTTATTGGGACCATGTGACTGATACATGTGCCTTGGGATGTGTCTTTTCATAGCCGTTGTTGAACCCCCTTCATCATTAAGGGGAGTCCAGCCCATGCGTCCGCCCTCGTTCCTACGCAAAAGGACTGGCCTTAAGAAGGTCTAACGCATCGATGATGACACTGAATGCATAACGAACCGTTGAGGACCTCCTCGATGACAAAAAAATCCGACCCACTTCCACATATCCACCCCCCATTTCAGCCCCACCACCTAACCGCCCGTCGTCCCCAATGTCCAACACACCCCGAGCCTGCACCCCCCGCCCCCCCCCCAATCCCCCTTCCCCTAGGCCATGCCACCCCCCATGCTCGCATCGTCTTGCCACCACCCATCCATGCACTGAAGCCCCATGGTTAGAAACCGACAATGAGACTAGCATCTGCAATCATGAAGGACTCCCCCTTGTATAGACGAACGTGCTTCCATGATCCCCCACCTCCACAAGTCCAGTCATGTATGATCTGTCATGCAACGACGACAATGTTATGGCGATAGTCTTGTATCACGCATCCTTGTGGACCAATTCCTTGCCCGACCCCTCATTTGGAGGAGTGGTGAAAGTTTTCTCAACAACGATGACAACCTCACGCACGAACCGCCCACCACCTCGACGAATACCATCAGATGGGCCGCTTTCACACCATCACGTAAGACATCCACGTGTCTGATCTCACTTTCCGTAACCTCGGCTGCCATAAGAACCTCCGGGAGATTGGCCGACCGAACATCAACCTTGTGCAAATGCTCCCACCCGATGAAAGTAAGGTTCATTACCTTCCCTTTGAAAACTGGCAAGGAGACCGGCGTCGTCCAGTGAATGGTGAGTACGTAAATTACATGTGGAATGACCATCGACAACACAGTGTCAGGGGCAGCGCACGATTTTATGGAATGAGCATGTGAATGGGAAACTGTATGCAAGCGTACATGTGTGTGTGTGTGTGTGTGTGTGCTTTTGTCGGTGTGTGTGTGTGTGGGCGTGCGTGCATGTCCATGCGCACCTTCTGTGTGTGTGTCTGCTCGACCCCGTGTGTGTTTATTTGTTTCGGGAGACGACGAGCGGCCGGAGCACCGTTTTTAGTTTTATCTATTTCTGTATTAGTCGTTCTCGATTGTTATCAGGTGGAGATTGTCTAGCCTATCAGAATGTAGGAGGCATTGTCGGTGCTCGGTGCCAAACAAATCAACCATCAATATTCGAACCGAAAGTGGATGGCATGCAGTCCTTTCAAATGTTAGTAATTTTCCGTCACAATTGCATGATGGCACATGATAAGTGAAAATAAGAGCTAATTAAAACAACAACAACAACAACACCCGCATTAGACAACAACAACAACAACAACAACAACATTAGACAAAAGCAAAGGGCTGCGTTTTTGAAATCTTGCACATACGGACCCATATAAACGCTAAGAAGACAAACGGGTAGCAAACAAAAATAAGGGAAAGTAAGAGGACAACAAAACAATGAACACGAAAAGGACACGTTGTCGACGTGAGTTTGATAAAACATATGTCGTCCAATGCCCCTAGCGATGGGCGACGACTCCACGATGCATTTCAGAATGCAGTAAGATGCATCCGTTCACCGGATGTCGTGCTCTACAATTGTAAACATTAAGAACCATGAATGAAACATTCGTGCAAAAAACGCACAGTGGAAGATGGCAACCATGCCCAGTCTGGGTAGCCGTGGTTTGCATTCCACCTGCAAGGAAGGACCGTTACCGAAATGAACGGAAAGCAGAAATCGGTGGACAGTTCCAAGGACGTCTTCAGTGTTGTCTACACAGAGATGAGGGGGTGGTAGTGCTGCTCACGCAGTGGGAGGGCGCCAAGATCTTGCATGAATGACTTTCACAAACTCCACGAAGGCGTTGGGCATCATAATGTTCGCCTCTTGGGGTAATATTCCTTCTTGACGTCCACCTCCCTCTCCAGAATGTCACACTGCCTCGTCAACAAGGAGCATTGCCTCTTGCTTGCGCTGTCGACCGTGGACGCCATCAGCTGGCCATGTTTGTCCATCACGGTTCAGTTGTCGAAGTTAGGGAATGGCCTCAATGTACTTCAATAGTTGTGCATATGATCCGCTTGTCTCAGCCGAAGCCGGGTAATGACTCCGGTACCTCAAATATGTTCTCATTGTTCTCAACTGAAGCCGGGTGATCGCCTCGGTATCTTATGATGTTTGTTCATTCATAAGGGACGTCGGGCTCGGTTCCCAACACGTGCTGCTCCCCATGAATAGATTGGAGCATTGTCCCATTAAAAAAATAAAAATAAAAATAAAATTGCATGGACACATGCATACTGGTCATCAATAGACAATGTACAATATACTAAAGAGGTTCGCCTACAAGAACCGTGGGTCAATCATAAAAGAGACAGCACGAGGCTCCCAGGCTGAGACAGCAGAGGACTACTTGCTGGGAGAATAGGGAGAAAAAGATCGCAGCCTAGAATCTATATTCACATCTCTTAGTAGTAGCCGTTGGCCCTATGGATACTATCACTTGCCTTTTGATATCACGTAGACAGTCAACCTAGGCTCCTGTGTACTCCCACCTGTCAAGCTCTCTGCACTACAATGTGAAGTAAACCCCACATAGTAGAGCCGAGTGTTATAGAGAGTCGTAGAGTAGAGTTGAGTACACTAGAGTGTCATAAAGTGTCGCAAAATATAGTAGATTAGATTGTCGTAGAGTAAAGTACAGTATCGTGGAGTAGAGTACACTAATGTGTCGTAGAGTAGAGTAAAGTGTCGTAGAGTATAGTAGAGTAGAGTAAAGTCGAGTGTCGTAGAGTAGAGTAGAGTAGAGTGTCGTCAAGTAGAGTACAATAGAGTGTCGTATAGTAGAGTAGAGTAGAGTAGAGTAGAGTACAGTAGAGTAGAGTAGAGTAGTGTAGAGTGGGTAGATTATAGTAGAGTTTCGTCAAGCCGAGTAGAGTAGAGGGTCGTATCGTGTCGTAGAGTAGAGTATACTAGAGTAGAATGTCGTAAAGTGTCGTAGAGTATAGCAAAGTAGAGTAGAGTTTTGTAGAGTGTGGTAAAGTATCATAGAGTACAAAAGAGTGTCGTAAAGTGGAGTGTCGTAGAGTGTCGTAGAGTGTCGTAAAGTGTCGTAAAGTAAAATAGAGTAAAGTAGATTAGAATAGAATAGTCGTAGAGTATCGTACAATACATTGTCGTAGAGTAGAGTGTTGTATAGTAGAGTGTCGTAGAGTAGAGTAGAGTAGAGTAAAATAAAGTAGAGTGTCGTAGAGTAGAGTATTGTAGAGTGTCATAGAGTAGAGTAGAGTGTGACAGAGTACATTAGAGTGTTATGGAGTGTCGTAGAGTAAAGTAGAGTGTCGTGAAGTTTCGTTGAGTACAGTAAAGTGTTGTATAGTGGAGTACAGTACAATGTTGTAGAGTAGAGTAGAGTGTCGTACAATGTCCTAGAGTATAATAGAATGTTGTAGAGTAGAGTAAAGTACAATGCCGTAGAGTAGAGTACAGTGTCCTACAATGTCCTAGAGTATCGTAGAGTGTTGTGGAGTAGAGTAGAGCGTCGTACAGTGGAGTAGAGTGTCGTAAAGTAGTGTAAAGTGCCGTAGAGTAGAGTAGTGTTGTAGAGTACAATGTTGTAGAGTGTCTTAGAGTATAGTAGAGTGCAGTAGAGTAGAGTGTAATGTAGTAGAGTAGAGTAGAATAAAGTAGAGTAGAGTAGAGTAGAGTAGAATAGAGTAACGTGGGTAGAGTAGAGTAAAGTAGAGTGGAGTTGAGTAGAGTAGAGTAGAGTAGAGTGTCGTATAGTGTCGTAAAGTTGAGTATAGTAGAGTATAGTGTCGTAGAGTATAGTAGAGTAGAGTAGAGTGTCGTAGAGTAAAGTAGCGTATCGTAGAGTAAAGTTTTGTAGAGTGTCGTAGAGTGTCGTAGAGTGTTGTAGAGTGTCATAGAGTACAAAAGAGTGTCGTAGAATGTCGTAGAGTAGAGTAAAGTGTCGTAGAGTTGAGTAAAGTTTCATAGAGTGTCGTAGAGTTGAGTAGAGCAGAGTAGAGTGTCGTAGAGTAGAGTAGAGTGTCCTAGAGTGTCGTAGAGTGTCGTAGAGTGTCGTAGAATGTCATAAAATGTCGCAGAGTATAGTAGAGTACATTGTCGTAGTAGAGTACAGTATCGTAGAGTAGAGTAAAGTAATATGTCGTAAAGTAGAGTAAAGTGTCATAGAGTGTCGTAGAGTTGAGTGGAATAGAGTAGAGTCGAGTGTCGTAAAGGGTCATAGACTGTCGGAAAATGTCGATGAGTGTCGTCGAGTAGAGTAGAGTAGAGTGTCGTAGAGTAGAGTATTGTAGAGTGTC